AGAGAGAGAGAGAGAGAGAGAGAGAGAGAGAGAGAGAGAGAGAGAGAGAGAGATAGTAGAACACAGAGGAGACACTCACAGTGTGGACTTGAGAGTCCGACTGTGACAGACACGCCTCTTGCAAAGGGACAGTCACTGACATCCATGAATGAAGCGTCTGAAGCCTCAGGAAGGAACAGGGTCTGGGCTCCTGCTCATGTTCATAGTCGCCCATCCCACCGCAGCTCCCATGCTGCCTCCTTGGGTTACACGACTTACCTGTACTGGAATGGAGACCGGACTACGGTGACCAGAGAGGGGAGGGTGTCCTCAGCTGTATTCTGTCACCTGGTTATTCAAGGTCCGTTTATGTCTCTGGTCCTTGGGGATTCTCGGATTCCATATGAAAGAATTCACAGAGGAGACGAGATGTATTCTGAATAATACAGGGAGAATCTCGTGGATCTCAGTGACTCATTGACTGAAGCCAAGGGAATGGCTCCCTTGATGCCATTGCTAAAACATGGCCACTGTTTCTCCCTTGAGAGGGTGAGAGAGGATGCCTTGGCTCATTTTCCCAGCATACCCCTGAGAAGCAAGTCTGTGTTCCCAGGTACTTGGACAGTTTCTGAGACCCGTGCTCTAGGGATCTAGCAGTCAGGTGATGCTGGTCCTAATGACCAGGTAAAGCTCCTTAAGTCTCATAACTCTGAACTCTTCACTCCGACAGCAGGTGTGCACTGGGGCTTCGAGGAGACCAAGGCCTTCCTGGCAATTCTCAGTGAGTCCCCGTTCTCTGAAAGGCTTCGCACCTGTCACCAGAACCGCCAGGTGTACCGGGCTGTTGCAGAGCGACTGTGTGCGCTGGGCTTCCTGAGAACTCTGGAGCAGTGTCGCTACAGGTTCAAAAACCTTCTTCGAAGCTACCGAAAAGCAAAGAGCAACCACCCACCAGGAACCTGCCCCTTCTATGAGGAGCTGGACTCACTAATGAGGGCTCGGACTGTGATCAGGGCCATGGAGATGGTAGAAGAAGCCAGAGGTCTTCCTGGATCTGGGCAGAGTGGTCCTGAGCCTGAGGACCAAGGGGCCTGGGCTGAGATGGAAGATGAAGATGCCGTTAGACTTCTGACTCCACATCCCCAGACTCCAGACACAGGTGAGCCTGCAGTCTGGGTGTCGGCAGAATCCGCAGCCAGTGCAAAGAGGGGAGCTGAAGGGACTGAAATCTGCCAATACATCCCAAGACTAAGTTCTCAGCACCAAGGAGGTTCATTTACCCCAGGGGGACAAAGGGCAGGGAATAGGAGACAAAGACAGATGGTAGAGATGAGGGAGAAGGGAAGGGATATTTGCTCCAAGGGACAAAATACTACCTCTGGTTGGAGAGGAGACAGACATGGCCCATAGGCCACAGCAGTTTATAACGGCCAAAGGGGAAACCCCATTTTAGGATGAGTTGGTTTATTTTGATTGGGCATGTTAATTAGGGTGACCAAAGGGGGCTTCTGATGGCTGGACTTCAATACTTTGATAGCTGGACCTTGGTGGTAAGCCTCAGGAGGAGGAAGTGGCCAAATAAGGGACTAGACCTTGGTGCCCAGCTTTAGGAATGTAATCTAACAGTTTGACAAGGCAGAAGAAATGGGGAAAAGAGAAGGCCGGCTAGAGCCATGTTTGCCATGCTCAGGCCTACTAGAGTCCTTCAGGACCAGGTATATTATCTTTGTCTCTGAGCCACAAGAGGGAAGGAGATCAAGTAGGAAAAGATTTTGTGCATTGCCTAGATCCTATCATCTCTGGTTTAGTGTTATCCTGCACACAAGGTGGCCAGTCTGGCTTTATAGGGACACGTCTGGGTAATTATGGAACAGATTCAGTCTTATATGACACAGGATCTGTTCAGTGTACTGGAGGGTGCTATGAGCTGTTTAGTACTGAGTACAGACTTCAGAGGAATGGCCGGGATGGGATTATTGTATTCCAGAACACTCCTCAACTTTTCAGAGTGAGAAGCACACATGTATCCAGAAACATGGTAACATTTATAAGCTGCGGAATATAAGATTCAAATCTGTGTTAGCCAGATTTACAAACTACACGATACAGGTACGTTAATGCTAACCAGTGAACGGACAAAAAACTTCCATTTCTGTCAATTCTTTCAGGTTTTGAGTTGAAGCATATGGATGAAGACGGAATTTCAGAGCAGGATGTTTTTGGGGATTTGTCTGGAGCATTCTCAAAGTATCCCACAGACGCCATTTGCCAGCCCCGTGCCTGGGGGGAGGACAACGAGGATGAAGATGAAGGGCAGCGGCGGAATGCTCTCCCGTGGGAAGAGTGTTCCTCTGAGGAGGACTTAGAAAAGCTCATCGACCATCAAGGCCTGTACCTCACAGAGAAACCCTACAAATGTAACACATGCATAAAAAGCTTCACTAGGAACTTCCACTGCATGGCCCACCAACGAACCTACCTGGGTGAGATGCCCTACAAATGTCCTGACTGTGGAAAAGGTTTTAGTGACCGCTCCAACCTCAGTTCCCACCAGAGAACCCACAGCGGGGGAAAGCCCTATACATATGGGGAGTATCGGAACAGCTTCAGACAGGGCTCAGACCTCCCCGAACGTTGGAGGCTCCACTCGGGAGGAGCTCCTGACCTGTGTCATGTGCCTGGGGAGGAATTGGACCACAGCCCATCTTTCAGTGCTCGCTGGAGAAACTCTGCATGGGAGTTACCCAAACCTGCTCAGGATGTCAGCGTGATAATCAGTTCTCCTGGGCCCTGTCACCCCACCTCAGGGGAGAAGCTGTACCCGTGTCCTGAGTGTGGAAGGCGTTTCTCTAAGAGCTCTGCGCTCACCAGTCACCAGAGAATCCACACGGGCGAGAAGCCGTATGAGTGTGGAGAGTGTGGGAAGAGCTTCAGTAAGGGCTCTACCCTGGCCAACCACCAACGGACGCACACTGGCGAGAAGCCGTACAAGTGTGCGGCCTGTGGGAAGTGCTTCAGCGAGCGCTCCAAGCTCACCACCCACCAGAGGATCCACACGGGGGAGAAGCCCTACCGGTGCCTCACATGTGGGAAGTTCTTCCGCGACCGCTCCAACCTCATCACTCACCAGAGAATCCACACGGGCGAGAAGCCATACAAGTGCAGCGAGTGTGGAAAGTGCTTTAACCAGAGCTCCAGTCTCATCATTCACCAGCGGATCCACACCGGGGAGAAGCCCTACAAGTGCACAGAGTGTGGCAAGGACTTTAACAACAGCTCCCACTTCAGTGCCCACCGCAGAGCCCACGCTGGGCGGAGAGCACTGTAGACCGCACCTCCTCCTGATCGAAGAGCAATAATGCGTGTTTATGTCTCATTATTACTTCTAAAACATGTGAGAAAGAAAGCGTCCAATGTCTAAGCTTGGTGTATACTTAGAGATGTTATCTTGGTAAATTTCAGGTCATTTAGATGTGTTACACCTACAGGGATTGTGATTTGGAGGTACTTGTCAAGTGTAATCTGGTTTGTCTCCCCTCACCACCACCATCACAAAACCCCTCTAGAATCGTTAGGCTGTCCTTACATCTGTCTCTCGAGAGCCCAGCCGGTGTGGGAGGCAGATGGGTGGTGTAGGGTTAGAGTTAAATCTCTGACCCAGCGTATTGACTCTACGTCCTCGCTCTGCTTCTCACTGTTCTACACAGGAGAGTGGTCCTTGGTAGTATGCAGCTGGGGCAAATCCTTACGGAGAAATCTTGGGACTTCATGCTGAGAGCAGGCATAAACTGAGGACCGGTGCCTAGGGCACTCACTGCAGGGTCAGCAGCAAGCGGGGCAGCAGTGGCATCGTGGCAGAATCAGCAATAAGAGCAGAAATAGCTGTGCATTGAACATTTGCTCTTGAGCAACCCGTAGCAGTCCTGCTTCCCAGAGTAGAAAACAGAGGGCTGGGCAGGTTGGGTGACCGCATTGATCACACATCTGAAAGTGAGAGGCAGAATTCGTCCAGATGCATGTGTCCCTGGAGTCTGGGCAACTGTGCGCCTCACTGAGTCCTCTGACAGGGAGGCAGTTAACTAGTAATCGGATGGCAAAATATGATGACCAGTGAGCATCCCCCCTCTAACGAATACAGAAGCTGAGAGTTCCTGCCCATGAAAGGAGTTGGGATGTTCAGAACTGGCGAAGCCCTCTGTGTAAGGCTGAGCTGATGGGCAGGAGTCCCGCCTTTAGTCATGGGTGAGAGACGGAGGTAGGCTGAGACTGCTGTGTCTGCAGGGGGATAGTGCTTTGGTGAAGAAGTGGGTCCGAGGGTCCTTCTTTCAGGTCAGTCCTGCTTCTCCTAGGTTTATAAGCCTTGCCAAGCAGGCTCCCCTCCCATCCCCAGTCACTCCTGCCTTTTGGTCTCTCTGACCCATTTTCTTCATTTTCAGTCCCGATTCCAAGACCGAGGTGGAAGGCGTTGACGCCTTGTCCTCCTCAGAGAGGACTTGGGAATGGTTCCGTATTCTAGGTTCTCAGCACCGGTTCAGCTGGTGTCCCCTTGTCCCAGGCTGCTGAGTGTGGTCACCCAGACCAGCGACTCACACAGACAGGTCAAGTCACAGAGGTTCATGCACAGTGGTTTTGTTTGTAACACTTTGGCCTCCAGAGTTTTTCCTTAGATGGGTTTAAAAGTGTTGACCAAGGGCCTTGTCTTTCGTGGATTTTAAAGGAAGATGAGTTTCTTACACCTGTGTGTGACCTTATGATGCTGTTCATATCCCAATTATTTTATGGCCGTGGGAAGTATTGATTGGATAATAGCTGTGGAGAACTTGGAAGACTTGAACTTTTTCTTTGCATGTGAAAAGGGGGGTGGGAGGCCTTGCCATTCCCACTAAGGAGGTCACTCCCTAGCCTTTCCTTAGTTCCAGAACCCCTTCCCAGGAGCCAGTCCACCTGAGGCTACCTCCTACCTGCTCTTTCCAGCTTACCTTCCCTGGCTTATGTCTGAGAAGCAGAGGTCATGGGATGATCCCTGACTAGCAACCAGAAAATGCCAATAGCTGCATAGAAAGATATATAGAATACTCTGGGTCCAATAGGAGGGGTTGTGAAGGAGAGAAGAACATTCTAGAGAAAGTTACCAAGGTGTGAAATAGCATGGGTTTCAGGTGGAGGTAGAAATCCAGAAGGTTTGTAGGGGTTGGGGATGGGGGTGGTGGCATCCAAGATTATTCAGGTGCTGGGGCAAGGCCATTCTAGATGTAGCAACCCCCCCTCCCGGCTTTTTCCTTTCGCCAGTTGGAAGCTTAGCTGGGTGGGTCCTCAATGGTGCTAATCTCTGTCAGTTCCAGCCTCTCTTCCAGCACATGCCTTAGCTGTAACATTAAATCGCCAAGTGCTTTTTTTTCTCTCTTCAAACTGTACATTTTGTATTTCTTTCTGTCTCACTTACTGTTTTTCATTGTAGACCTGCATAAGACTTACTGGCACTAACTATGCCACAGGTACAATGTTATGCTGTCTTGAAATATTCCTAAAGAAATCAGCTCATTACTTTTAAATTTAGCCTTGGGCAAGTTCTTAGAGCATGGGCAGAAGGCAGCCAGGTTCTTTGCCAGAATATCATCCAAATGGCCTCATAGCCCAGTTGTTAATAGACCTTATTTTCTTCTGAACCCTCTTGAGCTGGGCCCACAGTCTACATGGCTCCCAGCACTACTATTGCCCAGCTGTTAACTGTGATGGTCCACTAAGGGTTGCTTACAGCATTCAACCTCAAACAAAGCAAACTGGAATTGGGTGAGACTATAAAGCCATGAAAGCCAGTGATGTGCCTTCCTCCAGCAAGGCTCTGTCTCCTAAAGGTCCCATCACTTCCCCAGCAGCACCACCATCTGAGGGCCAAGTATTCAAATACCCAAGCCTATGGGAACATTTGACATTCAAACCACCACAGTCCCATATATGTGGAGCTTCAATGACAGACTCAGGGTGATGTGTTTTTACATGCATTGTCAAAACTCAACAACCGATTGGAGCTTGAATGTGTCGCTGCCAGGTTGCCGGTTGGGTTGTATGGCAGGGTTCCTGTTAAAAGAGGTGAGGGTTTGAACTGCTACAGTGGCTCTGTTGAGGTGAAGAGACCTTGCCAGAGTTTCGGAGGCAGCAGGAGAAAGTCAAGTGTCTTTGGTGACTGGATGGAGCGTGCATCACTCTAGATTGGGGACACGGGGAAGAGATATAGACTTAGGTGAGCAGAAAATGTAAGCTTAGTTTGACACTTCAAACTCTGGGTGGACCTTTGAGTAACAGTTCATTTGTATGTTTGAGCCTGAAGTTGGGGGAGAGGTTAGGGCAAGAGAGTTGTATATGTGGGCACAATAGGCAAGCTCCCAAGGAAGGGGTTATGTTCAAAGTCAGAGAAGTATTGTGCTTAAGACAGAACTCCAGAAGTACCAAAATGTGAAGGGAAGCACCCCTCAAAGGCAGTGTGGGCTACACCCACCTCGCTCTTGTCATCTTTGGACACTGCCTCCCTTGCTGCAGATTCCTGACTTTAGTGTAGGATCACTGACTTTTGAGCTCTCTGGAAGCTTCAATGTGAAGGACCGAGCTTCCTGTAGAAATGGCCGCCCAGACTTTGTTTGGGTGCCAGTCATTCCTTTGCTGTTGGGACTGTGCTAGTGTCTCTTGTTTTCAGTAATGACTTCTGCTGCCTTTCGTTATCTTTTATTGTCCTTTGTTCCTCTTCAGGAATCTTTTAAGTTCAGCCAGGGTAGCTGGGGCCTGGAGAACCCTTGGCCCAAGTGGTCCCATCTTCTGTCTAGTCTTTGGGAAATCACTCAGGTCATGTCTGTTCTGGAGCTGACCCATCACCTTGCTGGTATTCCCAGGCATCCCCCGGAAGGACTTTTCTGCTTGAGTAAACTGGTATCTGGGTTTTACTGTCCTCTGTACGAGCAGCAATGGTGGGTGGTTCCTCAGCTCTGACTCTGGAAAGCCACAGTGGTGCTGTTACACCAGGAGGACTTTGGTATTTGGTTGCTGAAGGCAGGATTGTATCCTAAAGCTCCCCCCACCCCCGCCCATTTCCACAGACTCTACACAGACCCAAAGGGAATGGAAGGGAAATGTGGGCAGGGCTGTTCTGGAGCCTGAAGCAGTTTCTCTGAGGTCTGGTCCCAAGCACTGAACTCACAGTCAAGACTGGCTTTCCTGACCACTCTCCAAAGCAGCACAAAGCAGATGAGGGTTTTGTCCCAGTGGGGCTAGCTCTGTTACAGGCTGCAGAGAGCTGGGAGGAAGTCTAAAACAATTGGCCTTTATTGGTTTGGGGCTCAGGAAGCCCTACTTTGGTGGCACTTGGTGACTCAGGAGAGAAGGGGGTCTTCTCTTTCCTCACAGAACCTGGGTTTGGGCTTCTGTCTCTCAAGAGGCAGGCGAGACCAGTGTGAGGTGCTTCAAGGGCGCCCCCTGGAGGCGGTGGTGAGAACTTTCTACAAACCTGTGGACCCAGAGCAGGAGAGGGCATCTGTGGGTGGCGGAGGACCACATCTGAGAAGCCCTGATCCTGAAGTTCCCAAGAAGTGAGACTAGGCAAGCCGGAAGCAGGAGTCCCACCAAACCTCTCGGCACATTCCGGGGACACAGAGCAGCTGCAAACAGCAGGGATTTCCTGATAGGCTTGTTGTTAGAAAAGTAGACATTTGTGATCGATTTTTGGTTCCATTGTGGTTTCTGAAATTAGAATTGGTTGAATCTTACCCTGCAAGAGACTCTGGGACTGAAGACCTTAACTCTCAAACAAACCAGCCCTTCAGTTTGTATTGTTACCTGGCTTTCCTTTACCTTATTATCCTGGCTATCTTCTCAAACTTTACTATTTTCTTTCTTTCTATGCTAGGCAAACTCTAATTTTAGAGTGAGGTGGCCTGGTGAGTAAACTAAACAATGGCCACAAAAGGGATGGGGAGGAGAACAAACTAGATTTGGATTCTTATAGGTTCTTTGCCCCCCAACAACTTTCTCCGCTGATGCAGCAAGCCAGATCAAGCTGAACTGAAAAGGCGGAACAACGGTTTATTGAGAACAGCTCCTGGGTGGGTTCTCTGGTCCGAAAGATCGAGGCCAGAGACGTTGCATTCCTCCACTCCAACTAAAAGCGGGGAGATTTTATAGGTTGTCGGTGAGGGGTGATGACGTGTCTGCCACAAGCTAGGTTTTGTTTGAAGACTCTCTGAGCTGGCGGGGTTTGGAGAGGCGAGTGGGGGGGGAGGCCTTTTCAGATTGTTTATGGGCGAGCTGGAGTCTCCAACCTAACAGATTCTTCTAGCATCTTCTTTGATAGGCAAAAGCAGTAAAGATGGAAGGGGACAATCCAGGCACAGTATTGCCTTCAGGGAGATGGAGCCCAGATCTTTAGGCCTGTGGGTGTGTGGGGCAACTCCAGCTCCTATTTTCTCTGGGTTTTCAGACATGCTTACTGTTAGGAAAAAGTCCTAAAATGAGCTGCTCCGCCGGCACAAAGAAATCCAATCAGGTCAAATCAAACCAAATTAAAATGCCCATGTTTTATTAAATGCAGTACTCTTGGGTGGCCGACAGCATGGCAGTGGAGACACAAAAAGGAGGAGCACATGCAAAACCTGGGACGCCTGTTGTTCTTCTGGGCACCCACTTAAATACCCTGTGGGAGTGGTCCTGACCCGAGGTCATGCTGGGATTTGGAGTCCAGACCAACGCAATTCCCCGGGCCAGGGGGCTGGGATGGATGCCAGAGGCTGGGTTAGTGCTCCCTACTTAACATCACATTTATCAGTTTGCTCTTCGCAGTTTGCTCAGCTTGCTTTTTTTATATAACCTGGGCCTACCTGCCTAGGCATGGCGATGCCCACAGTGGGCTGGGTTCTTCTAATGATTAATCAATCATTATTCAAGAAAACGCCTCACGGGCATGCTGACAGGCCATCTGATGGAGACGATTCTTCACCTGAGGTTTCCTCTCAGATGATGCAGCTTGTATCAAGATGACAAAGAACTAGGGAGCAGGTTTATGCACAGGAGACCCCAACCAGTTCTGTCCTGTTGGCCTTCTTTAATAGGACAGGGTTTGGGGAGGGTCATTAGACCTTCACCGGAAACTAACCATTCAGTCCTCCCAAGCACCCCCTCTCCCCACTGAAGGAGAAGCTTTTGGGAGACTGTCATCCATGCTGCTACTGGTGGGATTTTTGGTGATACAGCTGTTTTTGATGGTAAGAAATAGACCCGCAGCCGGAGAGATGACTCTGATTAAGGGTCATACTGCTCTTCCAGAGGACCCGAGTTCAGTTCTCTGTACCACATGAGGCAGCTCACAATTGCCTGTAACTCCAGCTCCAGGGGATCTGATGCCTCTGGCTGCTGCAGACACCTGCCCTCAGTGGACATACCCATACACAGACACATAATTAAAAAGTAAAACTAAATTATTAAAAAGATAAGGATCAGGGATCTCAAGAATATGGCCACACAAGTCATTTTTGTTTTTGCCAGAGCAATTGAACAAATCCAGCCAGGTCCTGCCGGTGTTTTATTCCTATCTCAGAGGGTTTCCTGTGGTTCCCTCAGAGTGGGCGGAGCTCAGCCTCACAGTCTCACACCAGTGGCTGATCTGGAGCAGAGCAGGGAGAGATGCGACATGAGTGTGACTTCAAGGGCTGGCCACGGAGGAATTTGAGTTTCTGCCTAGTGGCTTCTTCTTTTCTGAAAATGGAATTTCGTCTTATTTGGCCTTCTGTCAGGATAGACAGCACATTTCTACGGTTTCCACAACTTCCCCTTCCTTTACTACCTTAAGAAGAATGGAATTAATAGTCTGACTTGTGGAGTAGTCATCAATAAGTCTTTTGGTAGGATGTAGGGGGTCTGCCAACGGTAGCTGTTTTCATTAGTCTTTGGACCAGCCCTTGTATGCACGAGTGCTCTTCCCTTTCTCAGCGCTGCGAGTGCTTCTGCAGGGCCTGCTGCACAGTCCCCTGCTGCACCCCCTTAGATGTTCCTACAGATGCCCCTGAAGAGGGGTTCTGTGAGAGAAAAGTGCCTGGCGTCAGGCATGACTCTGCCTCTAGGTTGTCCTCATGAGGCTGACTTTATTGATCATGTCTCCTCCTGTTCTGGACTGCTGCTTCTGCCTGAAGCTCACTTCCTCTGATACCCATCGTCTTCCACAAACCCAGCTTTCTTGATGTCTCGATCCCCAGTAATCATTCCCACTTCATTTAGCCTGGTGCCCTCCTCCTGTTGCTGTGTTAAAATAGCCTAACAAAACAAGTTAAAGGAGGGAGGCTGTAGGTGACGTTTCTCTCCCGCCTGCCAGTTCTCAAATTACTACACAGAGACTTGATATTCCTTCTAAAGTCTCGGCTGATAACTCAGGT